CCGATATATTGCACAAAAGAACCCTTGTCCTCGTTGTGGTCTCTGAAATCCCTGCAGTATGTCTGTGTTTGTCGAATAACGAAAGGGGTGTATCCCTCAAAATGAACGTTCCTTTAATCATTTTTCTGCAAGAGAACTCTCGCCCTTCCTCGCGCCATGGCCGCGCAGGCGAAACGCAGCGCGCGGTCGGACGCGGCAACATTGAAAGAAATAAAATCAGGGAAGAGAGGAAAGCAAATAAACAGAGGGCCCGCTCACCTGAAGAAAAGAAGAAGAAGAGGGGGAGGCGCGCCGTGAAAATCCCCAAATCACGTCATAATCTAATTACTCCGACCTGGCGCACCGAGCAGGGGAGAAGGGGTCGTAGCCGGGCCCTTTTTTGTTATCTTTATTCGTTCTATCGAGTCGTTCACCGCGGCAGCCGCAGTCGTCGTCGCCGCGCCGGCCCGTCGAATCCTGGTGACCGGTTAGTCGGTCCACGGACACCTCGCTCCTGGCTTTGATCGAGTGCGGCAGCAGCGCCGTGCCGACGCTCCGCCCGACGCGACACGCGCACCGCTATCGCTCTGCACCGGCCTGTGAGTACGCGCTGCACGGCGCTGCACGGTGCTGCACGCCGATGCAGATGAAGGGCTTAATTGGTGCAGATGCAGCTGCTGTTTCGGGCGGGAGGGCGGGCCGAGAAAGCGGTTAGGGCGGATTTCATGTGTAAGCCCCGCGCGCGTCTATGATTTTCGGACGGGGGGGTCCGAAATTAGTTTAGTTAGGGGTTAAAGGGGGCGGAACGTCCGACGTCATCACTTTTGCTGCGCGGCTCGGTAGTGCAGTGAGTACAAGTCACTCGCTTTCGCGTGTCCGGCACTTTCGTTTCGTATTCTAATCTTGCGGCCGCGGGTGATTTGTGTGTGTGTGTGTGTGTGTGTGTGTGTGTGTGTGTGTGTGTGTGTGTGTGTGTGTGTGCGCGCGCGCCTGTAAGTCGGTGTAAGTGAGTGACGCACGTGCGGTATGGGGCCGTGGAGGACGTCAGCATCCTGTGCGCCGCGGCGTCGGGGGCGAGGATGTGGATGCGGACGGCCCGCACTCCGCAGCATCGTTACAATAACTAACTCCCTTGGGGTTAGTTCGCACGCGCCCGTCACTTTGTATCCCCGCCCCCCGTCACTCCCTCTGCTGCCATTCGATATCCTTCTGGCCGCCTCATGGTGTATCCTCCCCATAGCGCCCGGCTCGTTTCGAAAGCTGCCACGCGAGGGACGCGCTATTGGCCGCCGTCCTGTCGTCCCGGCCGTGTATCATCAGCCCGCTGGACTTTCATGAGCGGCGTGCGGAGCTGGGCAGCGGACCAAGCAAAGGCCCGCCATCAGTCAAGCGTCACCGGCGGGGCGGGGCGGGGCGGGCGGTGAGGGCGCCCTGACAGCTCAGCCCGAACGCTCCTGATACCTCTCAAACTGTACAGGCAACAGTGTCCAGTAGAGAGCGGTGGGTGGGCGGGCCGGTCCCCTGGTCCCCTGGTGCGTAGGCCGCGCCGCCCGCCAGCCGTGCCGCGCGGGGGTGCCCACCCTGTCCGTCGCAGGCGCCCGCGCGGCCTCTTCTTGGTGCCGGCAAGCGGGGGCCGGCCGGAGACGTAGAAATGCGGTTTTAATTTCACCCTTTTCATTTTTACGGAGGGTTTTTAGCAGATGATACTTCCAGTATCACTGCTTGTACAACACCTACTTATACTAATATTAAGCAAATATTAAACATTTTTAACCACATAGTAAGCTTTTAGAGGAAGAGAGGGAGGGATAGGGGGATCGGTGGTCCAAAAAAAGTGGTTCGTCTCCGCCCACCTGTTGCACTACCTAGTGTCAGCAAAAT